GGCATTTTCCTGTTGGGAAGCCATCACTCCCGCTCCGATTCCTCACGCATCCCTGTTTCCCACTGCAGCTTTTAACATTATTTGCCCCCCAAATCCCTATTCCCATCTCCAAAACGTCCTAAACCCCCCGAAAAATCGGGATTTTTGTTCCCTCTGGCAGCTTATGGCAAAGGAGCCGTCGCACTGGGCCTGGCTGCGGGAGCGGCCCCGGCACCACAGCGGAGCCACCCGGAATTACCTGCGGGATGAGCGGGAGCTGCTGCCCCGCGGCCCCGGCGTCACCCCCCCGGGCTGTGCCCTGTGTCACCTTCCCGCGGGGGACAACGACGGTGACGATGAGGACGGCGCCGCGCCGGCCACCGCCCCGTCGCTCCTCATCCTCCCGCGTGAGTCCGGCCTTCCCGGCTTAACCACCGGAGCCGGGAGCTTCCCCGCCGCTTCCCGGCTTAACCACCGGAGCCGGGAGCTTCCCCGCTGCCCGCTCCGGGTTTACTCCCGTTTTTTGGGATTAAATCCCGCTTTTCTCATCCGCAGTCCCGCGGGAGCCGGACGCCGAGCGCCAGGGCCCCGTCCTGGCCTGGCCCTCCGTGGGATGACGCTGCTCCCTTCCCGCCCGGAGCCGCCCCGGGAATGGGAATGGGGTTTGGTTTTCCTCTCCCCGAGCACTTTACGGACTTGCTCCGACCGCCTGAGCGGGGTGGGTTGGATGGAGTATGGAAACGGGATGAATCCCATGGATGCAGGGGTGTGGAAAAGGGGGAAAAATACATTGGAGTTGTGTGGGAATCGCTGGACGATGCTAATAAACATATCTGGGAAAAGCTAATTCCGTGGATTCTTTCCCCATTCTTGCGAGCGGATCCAGAGAGGGATCCGGAGCGTCGCTCTGGACAAAGGGAGGGGGGCTGCGGTTTTTCCCAAAGGGAATTCCGTGTTTCCACTGTAATAGCTCCCTTTTCGCTCTGCAGCCGCTTTCCTGTATCCCTGGAATGGGGCTCGCTCCGTAATCCTCACCCGCTTCCATCCCTCCCTCCTTGCGGAGCAGCCGGCAGCTGAGCCCGGATCTGGTGCCCAGGTAGGGACCCGGCAGCTCCCGCTCCCACCCACGTATCCCGGCGGGAAGCAACCCAGGAAACCCCCCTGCATCCCGGGCGAATCCGCCCTGCGGTGCCAGGGAGGGAGGGGAAAAACCCGGGAAGGTTGTTGCAATGCGGAGAAAAATCCGCAGCGTCCGGAGGAGGAGGCAGCAGCTCCGGAGGCTCCCGCTGTTCCGGAGGCTCCGAAGGCCCCCGAAATCCTCCTCGGGGCGTTGTTTTCTCCGGACTTTTTCCCCTCCCGAGGGAGGAGCCGCGCGGGGAGGAGGCGGCAGCGGCTCCGGAGCGCCGTTCCGGCCTTGCCTTCCTGCTCCGGAGTTTTTTTCCCCCCCGGACGCGGCGTTTTTCGGACCCTCACAGAGGTACGTCCCTCTGTCCCGTCTCTCCCGCTATTCCGGAGCCGGGCGGAGCATTCGGAGAAGGGCGGCGGAGCCGGGGGCGACTCCGGAGAGCGGCGCTTCCCAACTCCGCGCTGGGTTCGTCCAGGAAGTTCTTGGGCAACTGCTCCAAAACCCCCTTTCCCTCCAATTTTCCCCCTGCCCAAGGAGTCATCAGGATCCCCCTTCCCAACCCTGCTATGGATTTCGGGAAGTAAAATCCCCCCAAAGGGTATTTCCCCATTCTAAATCCTGCTTTTTTTCCTGCCCCCAGCGTTGATACATGCTGATTTTAATATTAATAATTAATAATAATCACAGCTATTTTTCTGGATGCCGTTGATGCGCTAGGCCTTGTCCTTCCGCACCTGTCTGCGTCCCGGAAAAATCCAGCTTTTCCCCTTCCCAACCGGCTCTGGAGAGCTGGAATTCACGAGATTCCCCAGGATTTTCCCTTTCCGTCCCCAAGGTGCAGCCCCTTTCCCACTCGGAGCTGCCTCCCATTGGGACAACTTCCCAAGAGGTTTTTCCCCCTGCTGAGGATTCCCAAAATTCTGGGAAGCGGGAGTCGCTAACGGGGAAGCTCCGTCCTGCTCCGATGGGATCGCTCGTGTCCCCCAGGCCTCCCCCTTTTTGGCACCTGTCACCAAGGGAGCGATTTTTGGGGCTATTTCTGGCCTTTTTGGGTCCTCTCGGTGCTCTCTGGCAGCTCCCTAATTAATTAACACCTAATTAAGCCTCCCCGGGGCCCAGGCGGGCTGGGAGGCTGAGTCACCCCATGCTCCAACTGGCCCGACCTGTTCCCAGCGCCCCAGGCCCCTTCTGGGGCGGTTTTTGGGGTCGTTTCCCCCTTTTTTGGGTCACTCTTCCCGCTTTTCCGCCCTGCGCTTCCCGGGGTTAACGGAGCCTCTTTCCAGGCGGCCCCGCGCTCGGGCCGCAG